ACACCCTCTCCAGCACTTACTGTTTATAGATTTTTTGATGATAGCCATTATATCCAATGTGAGGTGATACCTCACTGTAGTTTTGATTTGCTTTTCTCTAATAATTAATAACATTGGGCATCTTTTCATATGCATTTTGGTCATCTGTATGTCTTTGGAGAAATACCTATTTAGATCTTCTACCTATTTTTGATTGGGTATTTTTTTTTTTTTTTTTGAGCTGCATGAGCTTTTTGTATGTTTTGGAGATTAATCCCTTGTTCATCACTTTGATTGCAAACATTTTCTCCTATTCTGAGGGTTGTCTTTTTATTTTGTTGGTTTTTCTTTGCTGTGCAAAAGTTTTTAAGTTCAATCAAGTCCCATTTGTTTATTTTTGTTTCTGTTTTCATTAGGAGATTGATCAAAAAAGATCTTGCTGCAATTAATGTGAGAGTGTTCTGCCTATATTTTCCTCTAAGAGTTTTATAGTATCCAGTCTTACTTTTAATTCTTTAATCCATTTTGAGTTTATTTTTGTGCATGGTATTAGGGAGTATTCTAATTTCATTCTTTTTTTACTTATGACTCTCCGGTTTTCCCAGCACCACTTATTGAAGAGACTATCTTTCCTCCATTGTATATTCTTGCCTCCTTTGCCATAATTTAGGTGACAACAGCTGTGTGGGTTTATCTCTGGACTTTCTGTCCTGTTGGGTGGTATATGTTTTCTATTGAAGTGTAGTTTATTACAATACTGTGTTAGTTTTAGATGTACAGAAAGTTATATATACATAATATATTTTTCAGATTATTTTCTGTGATAGGTTATTACGCTTATTAAATATAGTTCTGGTTCCCTGTGCTCTACAGTAACGCTTGTTGCTCATCTGTTTTATGTAGTTTGTATCTGTTAATCCCATGCTCCCAATCCATCCCTTTAGTAACCATCAGTTTGTTTTTTATGTCAGTGAGTCTGTTTCTGCTTTGTGTAAAGATTAGTTTGTGTTACTTTTTAGAGTCAACATATAAATGATATTACATAATATCTGTCTTTTTATGATATTCTGTAGGTCATCCAGGTTTCTGCAAATGACAATACTTCATTATTTTTTATGGTTGAGTAATATTCCATATGGGCTTCCCAGGTGGCACAGTGGTAGAGAATCCCCCTGCCAATTCAGGAGACACAAGAGACATGGGTTTGATCCCTGGGTCGGGAAGATCCCCTGGAGTAGGAAATGACAACCCACTCCAGTACTCTTGCCTGGAAAATTCCATGGGCAGAGGAGCCTGACAGGCTACAGTCCATGGGGTTGCAAAGAGTCAGACAAGACTGATCACCACTACCCCCCCAATATTCACATTTTATTAAGCTAATTATCTCTTCATGGGCAATTGGGTTGTTCCCATGTCTTTACTATTGTAAATAGTGCTGCTGTAAACTTTGGAGTGTGTGTATCTTTTAAGATTAAATTTTCATTGTTTTTGGTTATATGCTCAGGAGTGGCATTGCTGGATTTTATGGTAACTCTATTTTTAGTTTTTTAAGGAACTTCCATACTGTTTTCCACAGTGGCTGCACCAGTTTACATTCCCAGCAATGATGTAGGTGGATTCTCTTTCCTCTGCACCCTCTCCACCATTTATTATTTGTATATTTTTAAATATAGTCATTCTGATAGGTATGAAATGATACCTCACTGTGGCTTTGATTTGTTTTTCTCTAATAATTAGTGATGTGCCTTTTGGGCATCTATATGTCTTCTTTGAAGAAATGTCTATTTGGATCTTCTGCCCATTTCTTGATGTGTTTTTTTTTTATATTGAGTCATATTAGCTGTTTGTGTGTTTTGGATATTAACCCCTTGTCAGTCGTATCATTTGTGAATATTTTCTCCTTTTCTGTAGCTTGTCTTATCACTTATGGTTTCCTTTGCTGTGCAAAAGCTTTTAAGTTTGATGTAGTCCCATGTAGTTTATTTTTCCTTTTAGTTATTTTGACTTGGAAGGCTCATCTAAGAAAATATTGCCACAATTTATGTCAGAGAAAGTTTTCCCCTGTTCTTTTCTAAAAATTTGATGGTGTCATGTCTTATATGTAGGTCCTTAAACCATTTTGAGTGTATATGATGCAAGGGGAGTGTTCTAATTTCGTTGAACTTTACATGTAACTGTCCAGCTTTCCCAACACCATTTGTTGGTGTCTTGTTGTTGTTGTTGTTGTTGTGTATTCTTGCCTCATTTGTTATAGATTAATTGATCAAAGGTGTTTGACGTTATTTCTGGGCTATTTATTTCTTTCCATTTGTGTGTCTTTTTTGTTCCAGTAACAGTATTTTGATTACTAGAGCTTTGTAGTATAGTCTGAGGTCCAGAAGGGTTATGCCTCCAGCTTTATTCTTTTTCCTCAGGATCGCTTTGGCAATTCTGAGTGTTTTTTTGTTCCATATAAATTTTAGAATGATTTGTTCTATTTCTGTGAGAAATGTCATGGGTATTTTAGGTAGTGTGGCTATTTTGCCAATATTAATTCTTCCCATCCAAGAGCATGGGATACCTTTTCACTTCTTTGAATGATCTTGATTTTCTTTATCAATATTTAAACATCTTTGGTGTATAGTTCTTTGACCTCTGTCAAGTTTATTCCTAAGTATTTTTTTGGACACAATTTTTAATGGGCCTTTTATGCTTTCTCTTTCTGATACTTCATTGTTGGTAAAGAAATGCAACAGATTTTTATACCTTAATCTTGTACCCTTCTACCTTGCTAAATTTATTTTTCTGATAGTTTTTGAGTGGAGACTTTAGGGTTCTCTATATAGAGTAACATTCAGAAAACTAAGATCATGGCATCTGGTCCCATCACCTCATGGCAAATAGATGGAAACAGTGTCAGACTGCATTTTTGGGGGCTCCAAAATCACTGCAGATGGTGACTGCAGCCATGAGATTAAAAGATGCTTACTCCTTGGAAGGAAAGTTATGACCAACCTAGATAGCATATTAAAAAGCAGAGACATTACTTTGCCAACAGAGGTCTGTCTGGTCAAAGCTATGGTTTTTCCAGAGGTCATGTATGGATGTGAGAGTTGGACTGTGAGGAAAGCTGAGCGCCGAAAAATTGATGCTTTTGAACTGTGGTGTTGGAGAAGACTCTTGAGAGTCCCTTGGACTGCAAGGAGATCCAACCAGTCCATCCTAAAGGAGATCTGTCCTGGGTGTTCATTGGAAGGACTGATGCTGAAGCTGAAACTCCAGTATTTTGGCCACCTCATGCGAAGAATTGACTCATTGGAAAAGACCCTGATGCTGGGAGGGATTGGGGGCAGGAGGAGAAGGGGGTGACAGAGGATGAGATGGCTGGATGGCATCACCGACTCGATGGACATGAGTTTGAGTAAACTCTGGGAGTTGGTGATGGACAGGGAGGCCTGGCGTGCTGCGATTCATGGGGTCGCAAAGAGTTGGACATGACTGAGTGACTGAACTGAACTGATATAGAGTATCATGAAATCTGCAAATAGTGACAGTTTTACCTCTTCCCTTCCAATTTGTATACATTTTATTCCTTTTTCTTACTTGATTGATGTGGTCAGGACTTCCAGTACTGTGTTTAATAGAAGTGGTGAGAGTGGGCATACTTCTCTTATTTCAGATTTGAGTGGAAAGACTTTCTTCAGTTTTCCACCCTTTAGTATTACGTTGACTGCGGTTTTGTCATAATTAGCCTTTGTTATGTTGAGATGTTCCCTCTGTAACCACTTTATCTGTCTCTCTGGTGGCTCAGATGGTAAAGAATCTGCCAGCAATGCAGGAGACCCGGGTTTGACCCATGGGTCCCTGGAGCAGAGCGTGGCAACCCAGTCCAGTATTCTTGCTTAGAGAATTCCATGGACAGAGATACCTGTGAGCTGCAGTCCATTGGATCACAGAGTCAGACACAACTGAGCAACTAACACTGACTTACTTAGTTATACCCACTTTGATGAGAGTATTGATCATGAATGGACATTTAATTTTGTCAGGTGCTTTTTCTTCACCTTGGAGATAATTATGTGGGTTGTGCCTTTTCTATTGTTACTGTGTATCATGTTAATTTCTTACGCTTAACCATCTTTGTAACTCTGGAATGAATCCAACTTGAACATGGTGTATGATTCTTTTTCTGTATTTTAGGATTTGGTTTGCTAATATTTTGATATTTTGCTTGAGGATTTGCATCTATATTAGCTGGTAAGTTTCTTTTCTTTCTCCTTTATTTATTTATTTTTTTTGTAATGTCTGTGGTTTTGGTATCAGGGTGAAGATGGCTTTATAGAATGAATTTGAGAGTGTTCCCTCCTCTTCAGTCTTTTGAAATAGTTTGGGCAGGATTGGTATAAGATTTTCTTTTCTTTTGTAGAATTTCCCAGTAAAACCATTTCATCCTGGACTTTTGTTTGCAGGGAGTGTTCGTTTGTTTAATTAGAGATTCCGTTTCAATGCTAGTCATCAGGCTGTTCAAATTATGTTTCTTCTTGACTCAATTTTGGCAGCTGTATGTTTCTAGAAACAAGTCTGTTTTTTCCTAGGTTCTGCAATTAGTTGTCAGATAAATTTTCATAGTATTCTCTTATGATTTTTTTGCATATTTCTGTGGTATCAGTTGCTACTTATCCTTGTTCATTTCTTATTTTGTTTATTTAGTGCCCTCTCTCTTATTCTCCATGAGCCTGGCTAGAGATTTGTCAGCTTTATTTACCTTTTCAAAAAACCAGGTCTTGGTTTTATTCATCTTTTCTGGTGTTTTTATCTCTATTTTATTTGTTTCCTAGATGATCTTTATTATTTACTCTCATTTGGCTTTTTTGTTGTTGTTCTTTTTTTAAATTCTTTTAGGTGGTAGGTTGGGCTATTTATTTGAGATTTTTCTTGTTTCTTAAGGGAGGCCTCTATCAACTACCCTCTTCAAACTGCTTTTGCTGCATCCCATAGATTTTGTAAGGTTATATTTTCTTTGTGTTTTGTCTTGAGGTATTTTATTTTTTTGAGTTTTTCTTTTTTAGAAAATTAGTTAATTTGAAGGTGGCAGAGGAATAGGATGGGGAGACCACTTTCTCTCCCACAAAGTCATCAAAAAGATCATTTGAATGTTGAGCAACTTCCACAAAACAACTTGTGAACGCTGGCAGAGGACACCAGGCACCCATAAAGGCAGCCCATTCTCTCTGAAAGGCGGTAGGACAAAATATAAAAGAAAAAAACAGAGACAAAAGATTTAGGGATGGAGACCCATCCTGGGGAGGGAGTCGTGAAGGAGAAGTTTCCACACAGTAGGAAACCCTCTCACAGGCAGGTCTGTGGGGGGGGTTTGGAATCTCAAGAGGGCAACAAAATTGGGAGGAAAAAAAAAAACAACAAAACCCACAGATTACGTGCCTAACCACAACTGCCAGCGGAGAAATTGCCCAGACACTTGAATCTGCCACCAGCGAGTCGGGCCTGGGCAGGGAGGTGCAGGCTGCATCCTGCGCCTGCATCCTGCATCTTACTACCAATAAGGTAAGAACCCAGCCTGAATGCCCTGAGGACAGTCTGAGGGAGCTAATGTGAGATAGCAAGATAGCAACCCAAACTGTGAGATTGCCAGAGAGCCAAAAAAAAGAAACACCTGTCCCAGGAAAGGCTCTAAGGCAGCACAGTGACCCCTGGTGCACTCAGAACGAAGGACTGAGCGAATACCAAAGGAGACCAAGCTGGCTGCCACACAGCCCTCCCCTCTGGAGGCAGAGAGGCGGGCGTGTGGCAGCCAGAGCTGGGAGGCCCGGGGCTCCTGCAGTCGCGGCCCCAGAGACGACACCTCCCACCAAACTGCGAGCAGGCTCCCAGTTGCTGACTGCGTCTTCCTGGGATTCTGGACGGCTGACATCTGCCAGGAGTGTCGCGGCCTGAGATCAGCTCCCCAGAGGAGACACGGCGCACCTGAGACAGAGCTCTCGCGGTGCCCCCGGGAAGCTGGGCGGCCAGGACCGGGGAGGTGACGAAGATGCACAGCCCCCCTGGGCAGTGCACTCCCCAAGCACACAGCCACCTGGGCTGCTCAGACCTGGGACGGGCACAAAAGGCACGGCCCATCCAGGCCTGTGCGCTTGCAGAGTGCCTGAGAACTGAGTGGCTCAGACTTGGGAAGTACCCGAAACACTGGGCCCACCCGGGACAGTGCCCTCTCAGAGCACCTGGAGCCTAAGCAGTGTACAGCTGGGAAGCACGTGCTGCCTTGGGCGGTGACAAACCCCGTGTGGTCCGTACACTGCAAGCACTCCCCACACATGCTGGCGGTATTTGTTTGCAGCGTCCCTCCCTCCCCACAACACAGCTAAACATGTGAGCCGAAATAAATGGCCACCTTCACCTCCTGTGTCAGGGCAGAAATTAGACACTGAAGAGACTTGCAAACAAGTAAGCCAAAATAAAGAAGAGGTAACTTCTCTGGAAGTGACAGATGCAACAGATTAAAAGCCTGCAGTTAATACTGACAGTGCATTGGAGGGGGACTTATAGACCTTGAGAACAAGTACAAGCTGGAACAAGGAACTATCTGGCACTGAAATGACCCCACACTGCCCACAACAGCTCCAGAGAAATTCCTAGATATATTTTTACTATTATCACTTTTTAATTATTAAAAAAATTTTAAGTTCTTTATTCTTTAATTTTCACTTTTATAACCTAGTATTACCTTGCAAAAAAAAGACCGTATTTTTCAAAGCAAATTTCATACATACATATATATTTTAATTTTTTGGATTGATTTTGTTTTATAATTTTTATATTGTACTTATGAGAGTCTAACCTCTAGTCTAGATTTTTAATCTTTGCTTTTTGTTATTTGTTGTCAATTTTGTACCTTTAAAAATCTAATCTTCCGTGTCCATTTTCATTTAGGGATTTGATTACTGGCTAGCTTGCTCTCTTCCCTTTTCTCCAGGTCGCCTCTCTCTCTCTCCTCCCCCTTCTCTTCTCTGCTTTACTCTGAGACTGACTCTGAGTGTTCTGGGCTGTGAGAGCACATAGGGAAGTGATTCCTGGCTAGCTTGCTCTCTCCCCTTTTGCTCCCCCTCTTCTCCTTCTGGCCACCTCTATCTCCCTCCTGCCTCTTCTCTTCTCTGTGTAACTCTGTGAATCTCTCTGGGTGTTCCTTGCTGTGGAGAATTGTTTCATCATTAACCTAGATGTTTTATCATCTGTGCCGTATGGATGGGGAAGTCTTGAGTCTATAGTAAGAGACGGACTGAAAGCCAGAAGGAGGCTTAACTGCAAAACTTGAGAACATCAGACAACTCCTGACTCCAGGGAACATTAATAGACAAGAGCTCACCCGAAAGTTTCCATACCTACACTGAAACCAAAATCCACCAAAGAGCCAACAAGTTCCAGTGCAAGATATAACATGTTAGTTCTCCAGCAAAATAGGAACACAACCCTGAGCATTAAAAGGCTGCCCAAAGCCATGCCAAACCCATAGACACCCCAAAACTCACAACTGGACAATTCATTGCACCCCAGAGAGAAGAGATCCAGCTGCACCCACCAGCACACATATAAGCTCCCCCAACCAGGAAACCTTGACAACCCACTAGTCCAGCCCCACCCACAGGGAGCAGAGTCCACAATAAAGAGGAACCACAAAATTACAGCCTACAGAAAGGGTACCCCAAGCACAGCAATCTAAGCACAATGTAAAGCAGAGAAATATTCAGCAGGAAAAGGAACATGATAAATACCCACCAAATCAAACCAAAGACGAGGAGATAGGGAGTCTACCTGAAGAAAAAATTCAGAATAATGATAGTAAAGATGATCCAAAATCTTGAAAACAAAATGGAATTACAGATAAATAGACTATAGAGACTACTTATTTACAGATAAATAGTCTAGAGACTAGACTAGAGACACTTGAGAGGATGTGAGAAATGTTGAACAAGGATCTAGAATGAATAATGAAGAGGCAATCAATAATGAATAATGCAATAACTGAGATCAAAAGCACTCTGGAGGGAACCAACAGTAGAATAACTGAGGCAGAAGAGAGGACAGTGAAGTGGAAGACTCTTCATTTATTATAAATAAATGAAGCAGAGAGGAAAAAAGAAGAAAAGAATTAAATGAGGACAACCTCAGAGACCTTTGGGACAATGTTAAAATGCCCCCAACATTTGAATCATAGGTGTCCCAGAAGAAGAAGACAAAAAACAGGGCATGAGAAAATACTTGGGATAATAGTTGAAAACTTCTCTAAAATGGGGAAGGAAATAGCCACCCAAGTCCAAGAAACCCAGAGCGTCCCAAACAGGATAAAGCAAAGAAGAAATACCCCAAGACACATACTAATCAAACTAACGAAGATCAAACACATAGAGCAAATATTTTTTTTTTTGCAAGAATTTTTAAATGTCTTTATTCAGCTTAAATTTAGAGGATGCTGCTATCAGTATTTGCTAAGAGAAGAAGTTGGAAAGCACTAAGAAAAAGTTATTTTATCAGCATCGTAAAACCATTCAGTAGATAGATCGTAATTATAAATATATTCTGAAAAGAATGCAGAAGTCTTAATGTTTTTCCCTTTTTCTGCCTGGATTTCTCATGCCATTTCTTGTTTTGCTGTGTAAGAAGAAGCCTTTGTGAAAATGTCCATAACCCCGCATCTTTAACATGAGGAAGTTGTTAGATATTTTGAGAGTTGCTCACTCAGAAAAGAGTCTGGATGCTTTAAGTTAGAGAGTTTGTTTTTGAGTTGTAGTGTCAGATGACTTTGAACACAAAGAGCAAATATTAAAAGCAGCAAGGGAAAAGCAACAAATAACACACAAGGGAATCCCTATAAGGATAACAGCTGATGTTTCAATAGAAACTCTTTTGGCCAAAAGGGAATGGAAGGACACAAAGTGATGAAAGAGAAAAACCTACAACCAAGATTACTCTACCCAGCAAGGATATCATTCAAATATGAAGGAGAAATCAAAAGCTTTAGAGAAAACCAAAAGCTGAAGAGAATTCACCACCATCAAACCAACACTTCAACAAATGCTAAAGGATCTTCTCTAGACAGGAAACACAGAAAAGGTTTATAAAATTGAACCCAAAACAAAGTAAATGGTAATGGAAACATACTTATCAATAATTACCTTAAATGTAAATGTGTTAAAGGCCCCAACCAAAAGACAAAGACAGGCCCAATGGATACAAAAACAAGATTTCTATATATGCTGTCTATAAGAGACTCACTTCAAACCAAGGGACACATACAGATGGAAAGTGAAGGGCTGGAAAAAGATATTTCATGCAAATGGAGACCAAAAGAAAGCAGGAATAGCAATACTCATATCAAATAAAGTAGATTTTGAAATAAAGATGGAGAAAAGAGACAAAGAAGGGCACTAAATAATGATCAAAGGATCAATCCAAGAAGAAGATATAACAATTATAAATATATATGCACCCAACATAGGAGCACCACAATATGTAGGGCAATTGCTAACAGGTATGAAATGGGAAATTAACAATAACACAATAATAGTGGGAGACTTTGATACTCCACTCACACCTAGGAATGGATCAACCAGACAGAAAATTAGCAAGGAAACACAAGCTTTAAATGATACAATGGACCAGTTAGACCTAATTGATCTCTATAGGGCATTTCACCCCAAAACAAAGAATTTCACCTTTTTCTCAAGTGCACACAGAACCTTCTCGAGGATAGATCACATCCTGGGCCATAAATCTAGCCTTGGTAAATTAAAAACAAAACAAAACATTTCAAGCATCTTTTCTGACCACAATGCGGTAAGATTAGATGTCGACTACAGGAAAACTATTAAAAATTCAAACATATGGAGGCTAAACAACAGGCTTCTGAATAACCAACAGATCATGGAAGAGGTCAAAAAGGAAATCAAAATGTGCATAGAAACAAATGAAAATGAAAACATGACAAACCAAAACCTATGGGATTCAGTAAAAGCGGTGCTAAGAGGAAGGTTCATAGCAATACAAGCTTACCTCAAGAAACGAGAGAAACAGCAAATAAATAACCTAACTTTACACCTGAAGCAACTAGAAAAAGACAAAAAGAGGAACCCCAATGTTAGTAGAACGAAAGAAGTCAGAGGAGAAATGAAAAGAAATGAAGGAAATGATAGCAAAAATCAATAAAAACTAAAAACTGGTTCTTTGAGAAGGTAAATAAAGTAGACAAACTATTAACCAGACTCATCAAGAATAAAAGGGAGAAGAATCAAATCAGTAAAATTAGAAATGAAAATGGAGAAATCACAACAAACAACACAGAAATATAAAGGATCATAAGAGACTACTATCAGCCAATAAAATGGACAACTTGGAAGAAATGGACAAATACTTAGAAAAGTATAACCTTCCAAAACTGAACCAGGAAGAAATAGAAAATCTTAATAGATCCATTGCAAGCAAGTAATTGGAAACTGGAATAAAAAATCTTCCAACAAACAAAAGCCCAGAACCACATGGCTTCACAGGTGAATTCTATCAATTTAGGGAAGAGCTAACACCTATCCTACTCAAACTCTTCCAGAAAATTGCAGAGGAAGGTAAACTCCCAAGCCATTCTATGAGGCCACCATAACCCTAATACCAAAACCAGACAATGATGCCACCAAAAAAAGAAAACCACAGGTCAATATCACTGATGAACATAGATGCAAAAATCCTCAACAAAATTCCAGCAAACAGAATCCAACAACATATTAAAAAAGATCATACATCATGACCAAGTGGGCTTTATTCCAGAGATTCAAGGATTCTTCAATATTTGCAAATCAATCAATGTAATACACTATGTTAACTAATTGAAACATAAAAACCATATGAGTATCTTAATTATTTCAAAATTTTTTGATTGAGGTATTCAATCAAATAGTATCTCAATTACTCAAACATTTAAAGTAATTACTGATACGTACTTATTGTAATTTTAAATCTCATTTTTCAGTTGATTTTGTTCATTACTTTTTTTTTGTCCTTTCTGGTTTGATGGTTTCTTTTTGTATTATGCTTGAATTCCTTGACTTTGGGCTTCTATAAATCTATTATGTTTT